CACGGCAGTGTACATGTACTCATCGTATTGCATGTACACATCATATGCTTAGGCTGGTGACCTGCCACACATGTACATGTACATACAGTTGGTGTACATGTTCAGAGAAACTCATAGCCCGTGTACATGTATCGGGTACCATACAAGAAGTAAGCTTCAATCTGTACAGAGTAGTGCCCAGCAATTAAAAAAAAGACTTCAGCTTTGTGCAAGATACACGTACAATACATGGGCATGTACATGAATGACTGGGTTTTTTTGAGGGGGGGTTGGTCAGCACTTGCTGGCAGTGGTATAGGAAGGTCTATCAAATATCATTTTACATGTACATTGCACACTGTACATGTACAAGTCCCTTCATAGGTCCAGTCGCCAGATCAGTCCTACATGAAAGTACATGTACCAGTAACAGGATGCACAGCGACAAAAGGACGTGTTTGCCACAATTCATTTCAGAATCTTGCAGCTTGACTTGCGACTGGATGGCTTGTGATAGACTATGTTACAAAACTGACACTTGCCACTGAAAAGCTTGAAATTAATCCCAATTCAGCAAAAATCATCACAATGAACACCACCCCTATGGTGCACGGCGTACCGTACATTTACCAGGGTTCTCCCCTTGTACAAACTTGCGTATATGGCCTGATACGCAATTACCGGTATTTCTGCCCGATACGCAAAAAACAGGCCCATACCCATTTTTTCATCCCCGATACGCACAATATAATTATGATAGTATGGCTCAGAATTATTTTCCATAATGCAGATTGCATGTCCGGAAAATCTAGATGAAAAAGTAGTTAATAAAAAAATAAATTTTTTCGTGTACATGTACATTCTACACATGGAGGGTAGGTAGCCTACATAGTACCGGTACATGCATTGCGCACCATGTGTCGGCGGCCACACCGTACATGTACATCGGCACCGAACATTCCTCGTGGCCGGTGTTGCTTGCAGCCGTGCGCATATATGTCTTTTTCTCTGTGCCGTGTGCTCAATACGCTGGTGGGGCTGCATTTACGAAGGTTGAAATTTTATANCTACATGTACACCATTCGCAGAACTTACAACATCGACCCCACACGTTTTTGTTCATGGCGGCAGCTGTAGCCCTCTGTAACAGTATTAATGGCATCTTCGACGAGGACGATATTTCTCGTTGCCATTTCACCGTGTTTTGTCTCACGCTCAATGGCAGAAACTCAATCAAACATAGGCTCTTTTTTAAGCCAATAACATCACAGTCCACGCTGAGGGAAACCCATAGGCAGAAGAAGCAGCCACCTGCAGCACATGCATGGAAGGCACCGGCGAAGGAAGGTCTGATCAGCAAAAACCAAAGGTTGTAGCATGTATTAAAACTGAATAAATGGGTGTTTAAATCGTTGATTGAAACAGCCACTACATGTTGTTGCATGGTTTTAAAATATCCAAAATTAAAAAAAAAATTATTGAATCTCTTATGTGTTTTCCTGAGAAAAGGTACTTAAAAAGCCCAGCAAATGCTCCTAAATGCAGCTGAGAACATCTAAAGTCCCAAAATTTTCGGGGCCCGTGGGCGGGCTCCGAACCCCATGCCATGGCTTCGCGAAATGTTGGTAAACCACAATGGAAAAACCCCACAGTTTTGAAAAGTCCTGGGGAGAACTCTGTGTTCCATTAAAAAACTTGAAATCCAAGGAGTAACAATACACATGGCCAACAGAAAAACAAGAGGTGAACAGCGATGATGTAGTCAAGATGACGACGAAGACTGTCCATGATGCGGAGGGTTTTCCTTTTATTATGATTCA